CACTATCAGGCTCATGGTGAAGGAGCAAACTGCTTTGGTGGATCCTCAATCCTCATACGAGCAACAATACCGCATACACCTTTACTGCCAATTTGCAACGCAACAATGCAGGTCTCAGCCATCACCCTGCCTACGTCTATTGGAGCGATCGAAGTTGCGTCAATTTATCTTCCGCCAAACACTGGTCTGTGTGATCATCACATGGAACAGGTTCTAGGCCAAAGGTTGAATAAGACCCTCATCGGCGGCGACTGGAATGGATGGCACCCATTTTGGGGAAGCAATAGTGCGAATCGTCGCGGAGAAGTCATATTTGAGGCGATTCAAAACTTACAATTCAGCATATTGGCGACTGGAGCCCCCACCCGTTACCCAATTAATGGACACAGGCCCTCGGCAATCGACTTCGCTGTCTACAAAGGCATCTGTGACCGGCAATTGACCATTGAAGAATCCTTGGACCTATCCTCTGACCACCTGCCACTAATAGTCACAATCCACGCGCAGCCACAGCCCTTGCCCATTAGGAAACAACTACTGCCAGCAGGATCAGATTTAGGAGTCTTTAGGTACGGCTCGAAATTGACTTTTTCTTTTTGCGCTGGCGCGTAATTTTTGATTGAAACTGAGTGGCTTTACCTTTCCTCTCTCCGCTGCCACTCACAGAGGGGGTCTCTACATATATCTATAGATATGTGTGTGGGTCTGTGTGTGTAGGTGGGATACTGACCCAGGCTTGTTTATTTGGAGTGTGCGGCTGTCAAAGGCATTAAGCATTTTTTACACTTAACTGCCAGGCAAAAATAAAAAGAGGGAATTCAAAAAGGTGGCCAGCTGTTGCTTCTAACCATGGCCAACAATCGGGTCGGGCATAATTTTATTGTGCAACGAATGGAAAATAAAAAATAAAGCAAAACAAAATACAATCCAACTCGCCGCTAAAAGTAATAAGCGAAAAGGGTTCAGACTGGAAGGCAAAGCAGCTGCGTCGAAACGCTTAGAGGAATTAAAAGCGAAGCGAAAACAAAAGCAAGAGCAAGAGCCGCGCAACAGTTGCCAACAACAATTTAACACGAGAGAGAGAGAGAGATAGAGAGAGAGAGACAAAGGGACACAGCGTGCGAACAAAAGTATTTAACTAATTTTTGTGCTCTTCATTAATTATGCTACTCACCGTTATGTCTTCTGTAAAGCAAATTTCAGCAAATGCGTATTTTCCAAATTTTCAGTCTAGCATATAAATAAACTTGAACAAAAAACAATAGATACACTTGCACTCATATATATAACTTTAAATAAAATATATTATAATATATGCAGCTGAGTTCGATTTGCATATGTTCGCTGACTAGAAGTGATGACTTAGTACTGAGTACTTAGTATATGTGCTCTTAGTCTGCCTGTAAATTGTGGTGACAAAAAGGAAGAGATGAAGAACAGAGCGAATTTGTGGAATAAGTCGAATTTGTAACTAACACATTTGGGCTACTCTTCTCACTATACTTGTGAGATGTAGAACTAAATGGGGAGTAGAAGAACGGAGAGAATTTGTTTTTATGCAGTTTGCTCACTCCAGTATATGAGTAAGCGAGATAGACAATATACTGGTTAATTTTAAGAGAATTTGAATAAGAAGAAATTGAAAAATGAAGCGAATTTATTACCTTACCTATGTATATGTATATATTATTTATATATGTATGTCTACAATTTTACAAGCGAGAAAGGTAATAATACGATTGTAGGAATGATAATTTGTCCGAAAATAAACAATTAGCAAAGGAACTGAACGGATTTAGTTGGAACTGCTCTTTTTATGTTATTTTCAGCTGCTTCCTTTGCTCAAAGCCCAAAGTTTCGTTTTATTTATTTGCACTCTCAGAAATTCGCTTTTAAAACGCGCTTGGGAAATTCAGTTTGTGGCAACAGCAGCTGACTGGCTACTGGCTGGGGGCATGCAACATAAACTTTTACCAGCTCATAAAACGCTCAAAAACAAGCGCACAAAAATCGAACGCACATCAAAATTGCACTAGCTGAATGGAAGTGGAGTGAGTAGTGGGCTGGAGCAGCGGTGGGGGCTTGTGAGCACTGGCCAGTGTTTTGGGGGGCATGCCACTCAGCTGTGGCATGGATTGATTTCGTGCGTTTATTGTAAGAGCAAACAAGCAAGGCCAAGTGAGTTGGTGTTCCTGTGTGTGTGTGCGTGACCTCTGTGGCGGCAAGTGCAAAGCGTTTTGTGTAAACAAATGAAAATCGAAATGCCGCAAGCGATGAAAATCAAAAAGTTACGGCGGCTGTAAAAAGATTAAGCATTCCAGTGCTTAGATAGCGACGCACCCTTCCTGTCTGCGCTGTCTTTAGATCTCCTCTCTCTGCCTTTCATTGCTTTGCCATCGTTCGCCGCTTCCACGTTTCCCCTCTCTTCCCATATTCAGCAATGCCGACACTCTTCGCTCGCTTACAAAACGATCCTTTCAACTCCTTACCCCTCCCTTCCACTGCTCAGCCTTGCGCTTCAATTCCTTCCATTTCGCCTTCGCTCCTTCCATTGCGTTCGAAAGTTCCGTTTGTTTTGTGTGCACCATTTTTTTATAATTTTTTTTTTAGCACATTGCAATTTGACGACGCGTCGTCTGGAGTGAGAGGTGTTCATAAAACAAGCAACTGTTGTTGCTATTGTTGTTGTTGCGGAACGTGTTCCAATTAAATGAGAACACGCCACGCCCCCCTCCCCCCCCCGCAACGCCCATTGCCAGTAGTTAATTTAAATGAAATTTGGCGACGTGGCACGTGATACATGCAAATAAAAATTACAAGTCATAAAAAAATCGAATCGTGCCACGCACATACACACACACACACAAAGTAGCTGTAATTTATGTGGCTGGGCGCAACTTGTGGCTGCTGCCACGCCCACACGAGCTCATGTGGGCTGGCCATAAAAAGAGCGCACAAAAAATAGAGTCAGGCAGGCACTTTAACAAATTATCTACGGTTTTTTTTTTGCCAGTTGCCACATAATGTGGCAAGTTTTCCCCGAAAACAGTTGTTGCATCCACATATCGAGACTGTTGGCTGTGCTAATTGAAAGGCGTATTTGCCGCGTGACATGCGAGATATTCGCAGTTTGATTCAATTAGATGAAGGCAATGCAGCAGGAGCTGGAGCCGGAGCAGGAGACGTTCTAGGCTGTAGGCGTGGCAGTTATTTGTCCTGTAATTTGTTGGCTTGCACCAATCAAAGGTTAATTGCGACAGCTGCAAATCAACGAATTTTAGTATGTAATCAGCAGGAGGATGCAGGCGCAGGAGGCGGCGCAGGAGACGGCTGTGTGTGGAACTAGTGATGAAGGCACAGGCAAGCCATAAAGCAGCTGCGGCAACTGCCGCACTCAACACTTAACATATCACTTTCTCACACACACACACATACGCACACTTACACACACATTCACATGTATTTTAATCACATAAAACTCACTTAAATTCGCAACATTTTGCGTGCTTTGTATGCGTGAGTGAGTGTTAGTTTGTGTGGGTGAGCATCTGTGCGTGTGTGTTGCTGTGTGTAAATTCACAAAAAACTGTACTTTTTGCATTACGCAAAAAGTGAGAGTATTATCGCTGGCAAACTAAAGTTGTAAATGCCAAAGAGAAGAAAAAATCAGAAAAAGTTCTGATTTTAACTTAAAAATAACATAAAAAAACGAAAATTGAAAAAAAAAAAATAAAATCAATAAAAATATATTTATTTAATTTATTTGATATATTTTTTTTTATATATACTTTTTATTTATTTTATATATATATAAATTTAAATACTTTTTTTTAGTTTTATTAAAGCTTAGCTATATACACATATATACAAAATCTTTCAAAATTTTTAATTTTCATTTTTTACTATAAGACAAAATTTCACGCAAATACGCTGTCATGTATAAGTCCTTGCCTTAAGCCAAATCAAACTGATCACAAAAAGCGCGGACACCAACCCAAGGCATAATCTAAGCATATCAGATAGGTGCTGGTATTGGCTAGATACGAAAAATAGCTCGTTTTGCGATTAAATTTAGGTTTAAAAAGCGAGCAAATTTTTTTTAATTATAGCTGAACAAATTAAAAAATAAAAAAAAATTAAAAATAAAAAAATCAAATAATTTAATTTTGATCATTTTATTATATTTAAATTTGATTTTTGTTTGGGATACTTGATCTTATCTCTTAGAGCTTTAGTCTCTGATTTTAGTTCTAAATTCTTAGTTCCTAGTTCCTTACAATAGAACTCAACATATATATATAATATGTAAAATTAATACAATGTATAAAATATACATATACTAAAGCAGCTAAGGCTACAAAGTTGATGCTCTTGCCTAGTTAATAAAATATAGATAATTTTTTAAACTAATTAAATAAAAAAATATAAACTACTTACCGAACTTCTAAAGTGCCTTGCACATGCACAGTAAGCGTAACTGTTATTCGTATTGTTTATATATATATAAATATATTTGTACATAGATAAACATTTTGTTTGTAGCAGTGCTACATGGCGTATGCGCAACATTTGCTGGCAAACAAATTTATGCGAGTACACATAAATCTGCAGCTGTGCTCTCAGTGCTTGTTGATACTCGCACGCACACATTAACACTCCAACACACACGCACAGTAAACCATATAGTTTATGTAAAAAATAAAGGAAAAACTTTCATTTTGCAGCAAACCCGAAGAAGCTCTTAATTTAATAAAGTGCCTCGCACAGCCTCGCCACGAATGCAATTTCAGATAAATCTCAATTAGGCCCGCAGGAGAATTATGGCCCAAGCCCGAGTTTTGCTTGTTTGTGGTCGAAATGATTGGGCCAACTGCTGTTTTTTTTTCACTCCAACTCTGACGAGTTTTCGCTTTGGTTTTTTTTTTATTTTATTTCATTATGCAATACATATATAGATATATATAAAGTAGATATATTTATCTGATTTTTCTAACAAGTTTTTCGATTTTTTTCTTCAAATTTTTCATTTCCCTTTTTTGTGAGTTGCGCTAATTTCTAGGCCTAGAAATTTGAACTCAATTTTTCAATTTTTTAATTTTTTTCAAAATAAAATTAAATTGAAATCATAAATTGCTGTGTGTGTGGGTGAGGGAGGGCTCAGAATACCTGAACACGATGATTTTCGCGATCGCACACCAAAATATTGCCATTTGACATAATGGCCACGCCCTCGAGCCCTTTGAACTCCGAGTCGCCGGAGCCCCAGGAGCCGAAGGTCTTCAGGAAGCTGCCATCCGGATTGAAGATCTGTATGCGATTATTGCCAGAATCGGCCACAAAGATATAGCCCTGATCATCCACAGCCACGCCGCTATATATAGGCATATCAATTATATATTTATATGTATATTCTAGAGCTATATTAAGTATACGCACCGTGGAAACTTAAATTGTCCATCATCAGAGCCCTCGCCGCCCACTGTGGACAGCACTTTGCCATTAACATCGAATATCTAAGGGAGATGGAGAGAGGGTAACAGGTAACAGGTGTAGGCGATTCCAATTAAATTCGTTTGGTCAGCTTACCTGAATTCTGTGGTTATTCGAATCGGAAACAATAACACGATTCGTATTCGATACGGCTATATAATGCGGATGCTCGAGTTGGCCCTCGCCACGGCCACAGGAACCGAATTTACCAACGAAGGAACCATCGGATTGGAAAACCTGAACCATGATATAGTTTTTTTTATAAAAAAATATAAAAGCAAGTAGAGAGAGGGAGAGGCAGAGAGGGCAGCGCGCTCTGACTGCGTTAAGCGCATGAAAATTGAGTGGGCGTGGCTGTAGGCAACTGCAGATGCCTGACTGTCTGCCTGCCTGCCCAGCTCGCTATCCGCCTGGCAGCCATCTCAAGTGTGACAAATTGGGCAAGACTTTGAGCTGCAGCTGCTGCCTGTCTCACTTCAACCCTCACCTCTCCCTCTCCCGCACTTGTTTATAAATATTTGCAGCATTTCACCTGCACTCTGTGGTTCTCCTTATCGCATACGTAAATGAAGCCGAGTGCATCGGTTGTAACGCCCCAAGGATAATTGAATTTGCCATCTGCAACGCCCTGCGAACCGAAGGCGCGCAAGAAACGTCCTTGCGGATCGAGCACTTGGATGCGATGATTGTATCTGCAACATGGCAAACAGAGTTGAAATCAATGTCAAAATGTTAAGTCAATATAATGAGCATTTTAAATAGCTGCAATTAAAGCTTAAAAACTTATTCTTATTTATTGTAAATTAATTTTTTTTTATTATAATATATATTTTATTTTTTTTTAATTAGTTTTATTTTCATTTTATTTTTACCTGTGCTTAATATATTTTTAATTTTTATTTTATCTTTATTATATATAAATATTGAAATTTATATTTATTTTTATTCGATTTATATTTATTTAGGACAAATATTTTTGCTTTTTACTTTATATTTATGTAATTTAATTTTAAACTTATTTCTTTTATTTTATAACAATTTTTTTTTTAATTTGTTTTTTATTTTTTTAAGAAATAATTTTAAATTTTATTTTATTATTATTATTTTTAATATATATTTTTATTTTCATATTTCTATTTTATTATATTATATTATTATTTTATTATTTTTTAAAATATTCAATTCATTTTTTTTACTATTTTCTATATTTTATTTATATTATTATATTTTTTATTTTTACATTATAATAATAGCAAATAATATAATATATAATAATAATAAAATAATGAGTTTGAATTTTATTTAATTCAATTGGTTCTGAACTATTATTTATTATTTTTCATATCCATTTTTCATTATTACTTATTAAAAATTTATTTTTTTATATAATATTATTTAACTTATGTTTTATAACTCAAATTTATTTATTTTTCTTTTTAATAAATATTTTTTTTTACTTAAAATTCTACTTGATTTTTGCTTTGTTTGAATTATTTTTTTTAACAGTTAAAATGTCTCTAAAACTAGAGAATAAATATCTCACTCTCTCCTTCTGCCTTTCTACTTACAGCAAACAAATCGCAGAGAACTGCGTTGGCCTCTGCCGAGTCGTGCTATTTGCAGTCACTCTGCCATCAAATTGTGAAACGCGCTTCGGACTGTCATTAATTACAAAATGGGGCGTTGAGAACTCATTACCGTGTGCCGTAACTTTAGGCCAGTGGGCGTGGTCGGTCGCATCGTGTGACGCATTTTTGCCAGGGCATTGGGCTTACAACTAAGCCGCTTAACGTGCAAAATCAAAGTTGAGACAGACAATGAGGCTCGAACGAACGAACGACCGACCGACCATGCGACCCTGGCGCTTAACGAGATTTCTCGTCAGACAATGAATGACAGCCCCTACACACAGCCAAAGATTGGGCATATGCACATGTGTAAACAGGCCGAGAGAGAGAGAGGGAGAAAAAAACGCTGGGCGGCGTTAGGTTACATGCGGCTTAAACGGGGCAGGGCTGGGTCCTTCGCACATGTTTCTCATTAACGCGGCTATTATGCGCTTAGCTGTGCCAATTACACGGCTCCAGCATAAAGCTAAGCCCAAGAATTAATCATGGACTATTGTTTCGACTTAATTAAAATGCAGCCAAGAGTCGATGGAGCTAAAGCCGAGCGCAGCTAAAAAGCTGAGCCAACTCAAGCAGCTGAGCTGTCCAAAAGGAATGTGAATGCTGCGGCAAATAGAAAAGAAGTTTTTCTTTTCTTTGTGAGAATAGGAAAAGGAATCGAAAGAGTGTTGGGAATGCGTAGTTAGAGAGTTCAATTAGATTTAGAGCACAGCAAATATAGAAGCAGAAGAAGAACCCGAATTCGAGGCTTTGTTTGCTTGGCAAACTCCAGCGAAACTTGAGCTGACTTTAGCCAATTTATGCAGGGTAACTGCTAGTCGCGCAAACTCTTGGTTATGCACACATGTTAACTCGATGCAAGGCACTCAGAGTTCGTCACTTGAAGTTTTAGTTCCAGCCAAATTTGTCATGGCAAAGTCGTGTTTGTTGGTCAACTCACCTGTCGGCTATGATGTACTGGCCGATGCGATTGACTGCCACGCCCGCTAGACAATCGAATTCACCTTCGCCGTTGCCATATTCGCCAAACTCCTTGACGAATATGCCATTCGAGTCGAAGACCTGAACGCGATGGTTGCTTGAATCGGCGACGACAATGCTATTATCGGGGCCGACGGCTAGGCCGCGCGGCCACGTGAAGGATCCGGGCTCGCTCCCCCGGCCCCCCAACTGGAACAGCTGCTGGCGCTTGCGCAGGTATACCTGTTTAGGGATAGTACCTGCCACTCCGGTTATACCGGCTGCTGCTGCTACCGTAGGGGACGTAGGGGAGCCTAGCCCGTTTTTTGACCCGTCATCGTCGGACGAGGCCAGCTCATTGGCCTGACGCAACGGCAAGCCCAGGCTCAACCGCCTGGACACATCGCTGGCCGTGCTCCTGCTGGCAGCTGTCGAGCCGGAGGCATGGCTATCGCGTGCGCTGCCGCCGCTGCTGCTGCTGGGCGCATCCTTTGAGCTCTTGTTGCCGTACTTGTTCTTCAGATAACGCGCCCACGAGCTGAGCGCCTCGCCGTCCTTGTTGTCCGCCGAGCTGCCCAAGGCGCTGCGCGAAGATCCGGCGCTGCGATCCGTTATGGGCGAATTGTCGCGCGATTTGAGCGCATGCGAGGAGCGACTGCGTGATAGATCGCTGCTGCCATAGCCGCTATATCTGCAAAACAGTTGGGAAAGGATTAGATTGAAGGCGAAGGCTGAGCACGAGCGCTGGGCGTTGAGTTGCTGGGCGAAGCTGTTTGAGAACCATTGCATACAGTTTGACGGCGACTGCGCTACTGAGTGTCAAAGTGTAGTCTTAAGTGTAGCTAATAGTTGTAGAGTCATTGTAAACTGAATCAATTACCAAAGCCGAACAGTTGGGAAGGCATTGTTGAAATATGACTGTCAAACTGTTGCTGAAGCCAACAGTTGTAAAGCCATTTTCTGCGGTTTGAGTGGCACTGCCAAGCTAACTCTCAAACTAAACAATTTGAAAGTAATTGAGTGCAGTGCTAGTCAAACTGTAAATGGTATATTTGCATGCTAGAACAGTTTGAAAGTCATTTACTGTCAAACTGTTTGGCATCAGATTTTCACTTTGTTATTAGAACAGTTATTGAATACAGTTTGACTGCAACTTTAATTGAAGTTTGAAGGCTGCTGGCAGAATAAACATTTGAAAATCCTTCGAATACAGTTTGAATGCAACTGGAAGCAAATTGTGCAATTCTTGGCTTGTTCAAGCAGTTGATGAGTCATTGAGCCATAACAATGGCTGTGTAACTGTTCGCACATAATTAGTTTCTGAAATACAGTTGGAAAGTCATTGGCTTCAAGTAATATTCAACTGGCAGCTGATTGTCAAACCTCTTTGACTTAACTATTAGAAACTCACGCATGTGCAGTTGAGCTAGAGCTAAGAGGTGACTGTCAAACTGCTTAGTGGCTGTCAAACTGTAAGTTGAGAGTAGGATAGTTGCACTGACTCAGTGGCTTGACTCTCAGCTTGTTAGCTAAGTTACACGAATATTTGACTGTTTACAATATGCAGCCCAGTGACTGTCAAACCGTAAGCCGATTCTCAACAGCAGTATAAAGCAAATCGCACGCACAACTCAACGAGCAACCCTCGCTTATCACTGAAATTATGAGCTGGCTCAAATGAACGCTTGCTGAGCTGGTTTTTTCTTTCAACTTTGATGAATGAGGCGCGCAACGAGACTGAAATGGAAAAATGCATGATGAGAATGCATGAGACTGCATGAGGATGCATGAGACTGCATGAGATTTGTACAGAGTGGTCGCAACTGTAGTTGAAGAAAAGACAGTGAAAAAGAAACAACTATACAAAGTGGCTTTAAAAATCCTGTTAATTTCGGTTAATTTGAACGCGCAGAAAAAACTTTTTTTTTTGTTTTTGGGTGTAAAAAATTTTGTAAAAAATAAAAACAAATCAAAAATTTAAATAATAAATTACATAAGAAAAACTGGAATTAGTGTGTGTGGGTGTGTGTGTGTGTGTGTGTGTGTATAGAGTGCAAACATAAACGAGAACGAAACGTGGTAAAGAAACGTGGGTTCAGCACGCAGAGAAACTCATAAAAAAATAATTAAAATAAAATAAAAAATAAATAATAATAAAAAAAAAATAAACTCATAAAAAATGAAATTATACAAAAATTTGAAATTCAAATTTTTTCTGTTTTTTTTTGCTTTGTTTTTGGCTATAAAATAAAGGGCAGGCCAAAAAAAGAAAACGGGGCGGGGCGGCGGGGTACAGCACACGCACATTGAAAGCGCCCAGAAACGTCTATAACAGATTTATATAGAGTATATATAGAGTATATAGAGTATATATAGATCTATAGCATATATGCCATATGTACAAACGCTAGCGTCCTATATACAACGGAGTTTCGGATTGATTTCGTAGCACTCATTTTTGTCTGGTATTTTTTTTTTGGTATTTTTCTGTTTTTTTTTTTTTTTTTTTTTTTTGTGTTTGACTTGCGCACCTTGAGGCCAGGTAAGCGGATGGCGAAACGGTCGTCGGCGATACGGGCTCGTCCAGATCATCGTCCTCGTTGCCAAACTGATGCGAGGAGCGACTGCGCGCCAAGCGATTGCGACGCTCCTTCATGGCCAGATAGCGTGAGCGGCCAGTGCCGTAGCGACTGTCGGAATCGTCGCCGGTTCCGGTTCCGGTGCCCGTGCCGTTGCCATCATCATCGAAGGAGGCGTTCGGCGTGGATAGCGATGGCTGCGCAACAATTGCGCTGCTCTTGCTCTTGTTTAGAAAGCGGCTTGTGTAGCTAGAAAAATGTTTTGTTTTTTTTTTTATGCTATATTTAACACTTTTTTTTTGTTTAAATTGTGTTTTGTTGTTGCTTTTGTAGAAGTTGAAGTTTGTGTGTGTGTGTGTGTGTAGGTGGGCGGGTGGCTGTGTCTGTGGGTGTGCCTCGCACCTGGCTGTAAAAAAACTTTGTAAGCGCCTCGCGTGAACTAACTTTTAACTAGCTTAAATCTGTGTGTAACGAGCTTACGACTGCCTCGCTCACCCTCTGCTCACACCTCACACCTCTCTCGCTCGCTCCCTCTCTAGCTCATTTATTAGGCAACCAAATTCAATTAAAATACAAAAAACAAACAACAAAAATTATGTGCGCTCAACCGAAAAAGTTTCTAATTAAATTTCACATTTTACATTAGCGCAAAAGTTTAGACACAGAGCAACAACAATTTACAGGGTATATATATATATACATAAGTGGGAGTGGGGCTCGGCATTTACAGGGTATGTAAGCTGTGCGGCAATAAAAGACAAAGCAACATTGATTAAACTACAAAGGCCAACGGCTACATTTAAAGCAACAACAAAGCACACTACACGGTATTTAAATACCAAATACAATTATCACAAAAAAAATACTGAAAGTAAATACAAAAAGCTCATTAAATACGGTTTGATAAGTAATCAGGCCAAGGGCAGAAGCAACAGCGTAACACTGCACGCGCCATCTCTCTCTCTAGCTCTCTCTCTCTCTCTCTCTCTCTCTCTCTCTCTCTCTCCCACGTCGCATGACGCACAAATGTAGGCAATGCTTTTTGTTTTGTTAGTACGCCACATCGATTACATTGAATATATGCCATGTAGTCAAACAATGAAATGAATGCCAGGCCATGCAACACCACATGCAACACACATCATGTGGCATGTGTTGCGACTACACTACACAAAAAAAAAAATGCCATGAGCTAGCAGCCGAAAAAACAAGCTTTGATTATTGCCATGAAAAAAAAAAAAAAAAAATATATATATATATATATATATATATATATATATATATATTTTTTTTTTTTTTTTTTATATATTTTTTTTTATATATATATATATATATATATATTACTTCGTATGCTAGCAAAAACGAAGCTCGATGTTTTATTCAATATTTAAACAATTGTTGTGTGCACACAAAAACCTGGAACGGGCGACCACGACTGCCCCATACTCGTTTTTGAACATGCCACGGCTGAATAGGCGTGATATAAATATATTAAATAGAAATACAGATCTGCAAAAGAGCTCTTGACTTGCCACGACCCAAAGGGCTAATTCATATTATTAATTTATATTATAATATTATAAATTCATATTATAAATTGAAACATATATTAGTTGAATTAAATTGTAGCTTAGCTCAAGACTGTTTCAACTGCAAAAACTGCTTGAGCTTAGCTCAACAGCTGGCAGTATATATAGTTAATGACAATTTGCCATGCCCACAATTGAGTTTGATTCTTAGAGCTTAGAAATCAAATTTTGAGGTGCTAACTAATGCCTGACAAAACCCTAAGACACCTTAAACGGCAAGGTTTTGCCAAAACGATGGGCATGCAGTAAACTATCGACTTTTAATTCCTCATAATGTGACTGTGGTTTGGCTCTAATTTCATATATATACATGTGTTGTTAAGGTACTAAATTTGTTTGCACAAGTTCTACACTTAATAAAAAAAAAAAAAAAAAAATCTAACTAAAAAAACCATAAACTATATCTACTAAATTGACACGCCCTAAATTGTTGAACTATATAAAGCCCAACTCAGCACTAAGCTCAATAAACAAATATGCAGATTCTAGCTATATGTTACCCTAAGTGCCACGCCCCAAATCGAATGTGCAAAAAAAATGTTTAATCAATTCTCATTTTAAGAGAAAATTTTGAACTTTTTGCATAACTTTAGCAGCGACAATTTTTGTTAAGCCAAATACACAGTTTATATATCTGCCTATATATATACCAAATATCAGACTTCCCAACAGTCGAGCTAATATACTCGCTTGATCAGTTCGTGCAGCGAGTATAGAAACTGCAATTGGTGCTCCACTTGCTGGGCCACAAGTTTTAATTACATTACGCAACTTGTGCGACTCGGCAAAAAGAACTCAATATTCAATATGATTGTCAATAAAATAAATTAAAGAACGAGCGCACACACAACGACAACAGCTCAACGGCATTTGAACCCTTTTCGCACTCACACACTCTCTCTCTTACTCTGTGTGTGTGAAAGGTCATTGTAAAGTGCTGTGAATTGAATTGAAGCTGCTGAAGCAGCCACTGAGTGGCTCCCGCTCTCAGCCTCGACTTGGACTCAACTTCTAGTTGTCCCTACTTAACCCCTTGATGTCAGCTCAAGCTAAAATGTGCCACTACACACACACACACACACACACACAGTCTCACTGACATTTCAATAACATTTTGTGGCATCTGTAATAAATCTGTAAGCTGTGGACAGCTATTCCCCAATTGCTAGTTGACTCAGCTGTATAACAATTTTTCAATTCAATTTTTCAAAAATGTCAAACGACTTGAAATCCCTGCAGCTAAGTTCTTAATCAAATTTGTTATGGAAAATTGCATAGTTACTGAACTATATATAATTTTTTTTTTTTGAATATAATATTCATAATAATAAACTTTCTATTATCTGAATACAGAAATCGAATATAATTCTTATTAATTAACTTCCATACAAAAAAATTATATGTATATATATTTTTTCCAATTAATAAGAATTATATTCGATTTCTGTATTCAAAAATATATATATAATATATATAAGAAAATTAAATTTTGTCAAGGACCTTTTTATATATTTAGATATATATTTAAATATATAAAAAAGTCTTTGACAAAATTTAATTTTCTTACAATAAAACAAATTTTAGTCAAAGTTTGCAATGCAAAAAAAATCATTAAAAATCCACAAAAATTATATATTAATTATTTAAATTCTTTTGTATAATATATATAATATATATAATATATACTATAATATATATATATAATATATATTATAATATATATATATAACATTATTTAATATGCTTTATTTTGAAATTACAAAAAAAAATTTTATTACTTTACAGCCATAAATATATTATTAAGAAAAAATATATTTTTTAAATATTTTAGAAATGTATAATAAAAATATATTTATGTCTAAGCCAAAATATATATGTTTAAATTTATAAATTATAAATATTATATATTTAATATAAATTGATTACTCTTCAACTTTTTTTTGTAAGTTTTTTTAAATACTAACTAGATATTTTTCATATAATTTTAAAGCCCAAAACTCCTTAAGTATAAAATAGATTATATAAATTAAAAATGAATGTAAAAACTTCTATTTTTTTATATATTAAAATTGAACTTGAAAAATTCTATGATTTTTTATATATCAAAATAAAATTTGAAAACTTCTAGTTTCCTTATTTTTTTATAAATTTAAATAAATAAAGTGAAAACTTCTATTTTCTATATTTTTTTATATAGCAAAACTTGAATTGAAAAACTTCCATTTACCCAAGTCACAAGAGAAAAAAAAAACATCTAGGGTTAAGATTTTAAGCCTCTGAGACTATTAGGACCTTTCTTTGTTTGACTGCAGATGAAAAGGTCAAAAGGGAAAATTAGAAACTAAGCTAGGAGTCAACTTGTAAGCAAATTTGTCTGAGCAGTGTACATACTTGTTTACTTGGTCAAAAGAGGGTATATTGGTTTGGCATGAACTAAAAGTATGGAATATGTAGTTAGATTTAGCCGCAGCTCAAAAGGTGTAAAGGTGCTTTGAATATAAATAATGTGGGCGTGGCAGATGGCAAAGAAAAACGAATTCTTCCAAGATTTTAGTTAGTTAAGTGAGATGAGCTACGATACAGTTAGACCTGGATAACGTTAACTCATTTGGACAAGACAAATCGAAAAAACTTTGATTTGTTCACAAGTTCAGCTCTTTTTGTACCATGAACGCGTATGCATGCAGTTGGTTATGCCCGACTGCAACATGATTTCCATGTACAAATAAATAAAAAGAAAACATTTGAATGCAATTGCACGCATTTAATTTGATTGTGAGGCACATTTCAGGCAAGGGATGGAGGTGGTATATATGCACATATATATATATAGATAGATATATAGATAGATAGATAATGAACTTCAGTTATAACTTTCTGATAGTCAACTATTTAGTGTCACGCTTAACATCCGCAAATCGCTTTCGGTACAGAGCCCGGTGGGGCCTACTTATGTACGGTATGCTAAAGGGCAGTGCGCTGCAAAGACGAACATAGAGAACAACAAGATACAAATACATAGAGTGAGATACGTATATAGACAAAGTGAGTGAGAGAGAGAGAGACAGAGAGTGGGGAGGGTGGGAAGGAGGTGGGCAGTGAGTGCTACGCTATTTTTTTTTACCTAGAGCTGGCTGGCTGCTGCTGCAAAGGTTAAGAACTTGACTATTAAACGCCACACGAGGCGTATGAGCAATAAAATGGCCAATGCGATGCTAATGCCAATGTCGCACAGTTGTACAAAGCTGCAGCAGAGAGAGATCACATAAACAAATACACACGAATACAACAAATACAACGAACAACAAACAATAAATAACAAATTCATTCTGCATTTGCATGAATCATGAAATCAATTAATTTCAATTTAAGCTCAATTGTTTTGCCATTTCTGTATAGCTGCGTGCACGTGTCTGTGTGTGTGTGTGTGTGGGAGTGTGTGTGCGTGTGTGTGTTCAGCAAATTAAAATTGTAAATTGATCTCACGCACTTTATAATTATAAACAAGCAATAATTTGATTAATGCAATAAATGAAAAAATTAAATAAATTGAAGTTTTTGAATGCTGGGATTATTAGATTTTTATTAGCCGAATAACAAATGCCCTGAAACTTATCATATATAATAAATGCCCTATTTAATTGAGGTTTTATTGATTGATTTGGCATGTGGAATATCTATATATCAAATTAGATGTATTAATTTTAACTGCCTGACTAAATTCTAGCAGATTGATGAATTGCTTGATTGATTAATTGTCTGATTGATTACTCTGCCAGGCAATCCGGTCGAACTTATTTACTAACTGACTAATTGCTTGATTGACAGCTTGACTATCTTACTGACCAAATTAAACAAAATAGATTGACTGATTGACCGACTAAAAGTCTGACTGATTGATCGACTATGATTTAACATACTGACAAATGGATAAAAAAACTGTTTGATTGATAAACAAACTAACAAATATATTTACTGATTGACTCTTGATTGATCGATTACACAGCCAGTTTATAGGTAGTCTAGCTGCCTTATTGACAGCCTGATTGATTTAGAGAGAGACATACAATAGATAATATCTATAGCTAAATCTTTATTTATTTATCTAAAATAACGATTGATTGCTGGACTGATTGATTGAGTAACTAAAAACTGGCAAAATGATAAAAAAGCAGACCAGTTGATTGATTATCTAATGCTCTAATTGGCTAACCTACTGGCTGATTGACTCAGAGACTCATTGATTGATGAACTAACTGATTGATGGAATATATAACTAACAGCACGACTGGCACTCAGTTGTCTACGACTGACTGATTGATTGACTAACAACTGATAAACTAAATAAATAGATTGACAAAGTGATTGATTGTCTTACTGACTTAGCTGTACACTGATTGACTCACTCACTACTAGATTGATGCAGTAATTGATTGATGGAATATGTTGCTTAAAGCCTGAATAATTCCCTAGCTCATAGACTGATTGCCGTTTGACTGATTGACTGACTGATTGAGTGACTTGTTGCTAACAGCTAGAGAGCTCATTTGTTAGTCATATATAGCGTATTCAAAGGTATATATATTTCTATAATTATACCTAAAGGTTAATCAGATATATATAATGCTAATATATTCATATATTATATATAGTTCCTTTGCGCCCCACATTAAACTCGCTTCTATAAAAGGCAGTCGACAGTTAATTTATATTTATCATGCACGAGTCTCATTGCTCATTATTCATTATATATTGGAGTATGGCTGTGCGTGTATATATATATATATACATATATATATATATATATATATATATATATGTATGTATGTATCAACATGTGTGTGAATTGTGTTTATTATTAATATAATGAATTGTGTTATATTATTGTAAGCCACAATCAATAGCACAAATTAATTGCAAACTGAACGTGAGCCATGCTTAAGTTTAGTAGTAAAAAGTACAGTTATAAATCTATAGAGTTAGATATTAAATTGTATAAAAATCGATAAATATATATATATATAGATATCTTGGAAATTCGGATGAAAATACCTGCTGCCGCTGCCATAACGATCGTCGCTCTCCGCTATATGATGAGCTGCCGGCACTGGTCGGGTGCGCGGTGAGCTGCTGCTGCCGTAGCCGCTGCTGCTGGAGTTGGGCGTGGCATAGCTGCTGCGCGTTGTCGTCGAGTTGGTGTCGTCGCGCGAGGCGCGTCTTGCCTCCAGGCGATCTCTATAGGAGCTGCTGCCCGCTGCTGTCGTCGAGCTGGCTGCGCTGCTGGGCGTCGATTTGGTTGCTGCGCTGCTGCTGCTGCTAGCTGCGGCGCTTGTCTTCGGCTTGGACTCTGCTTCCGATTCAGATTCCGACTCGGAACTGGTCTCCTCTTCGCTGCTCGAATCGGATTCGGCCTTCTTCTTATCCGCGGAGCCGTTGGAAGTGCTTGGATTGCTATGCTGCGGCAGGAAGCGACTGACGAACGGCTTCTTCTCCGGCGTCGCTGTCACCGTAGCCTCTCGTGCGCTCGAGTAGCGTGAGGAGCTGGCCGCCTTGGCCGGCTGGGCGCTGCTGCTGCCACTAGTTGATGTTGTTGTTGTTGTTGTTGCCGCAGCTGCTGCTGCTGCTGCCGAGCTGGCGGAGCTTTCGGTGGAGGCGCTGCTATCGCTGCTGCCAGAACGTTGTGTCTTCTTAACAGCTGCCACCTGGGCGGACACGGCCGGTTTGGACTGTTGGGTAGGAGTAGGAGTTGCATCAGAGTCTGTGGCGCTGTCAGCCTGTTAGTTGTTTGTTTGTTTGTTGTTGTTTGGGTTGCAAGCGAAACGAAATGCAAGTAGAGAAAGAAAGATATCGAATATGCATATGGATGGCGTATGGACAATGTGCAAGTGACAACGATGTGGGCGGCTGGCAAGGGGCGGGGCAAGGGGTAAGGCATTTCTGGGCACTGGGACAAACGTCAAAGGCAGAGCGATTTTTGACAGGACGAGGGCAGCTTGAAACGTTTGAATAATTTTAACCAAAATAAAGGGCAAATTTAAAAAAAAATTAAAATAAGCAAGTCAAAAAAATTCAAAATAAATATTCAAATAAATTCTATAAACAAAAAAAATTAATAGTAATTTTTTGACATTATAAGACAAATATTTAAAGCTCAAAAAATGCATTTATATATAGATTTTTTTAATTTAATTAATTTTACAATTAATTTTTTTTATAGATGTCTTTTTGAAGATTTATATATTTTTTTAAAAATTTGCAGCTTTTGGTCTTAGAGAGTTATTTGATGTTATCACTTGCCAAAGTATCCAAAAAAAAATAATAATAAAAAAATTGTTTCTATATATATCACTTCAATTGTTTATACATATCCAAGTCTTTTTAGAGCTTTATATAATTTTTGAAAAAATTTCCACCTCATGTTCTAAGGATATTTCCGCAAATGCATGAAGCCGCCTCTCCCTCTGTTTTTTTTCTCAACTTTTTCTGTCAAAAATTGCTTGTTAACAAAACAAGACAAATATGCAGCCGAGTGCGCATATGTCGCACACACGCACACGCACAAAGATGTGTATGTAACGGTAAATGAATACGTTGTTAAACTGACGGAAGCAGCAACGGCTGACAGACATGATTGAAATGCTACCATTGAAAGCTATGCCACGCGCAATGCCTGGCACAGGAAGGCTAACAATACAGATACAAAGGTGGCACACATACACAGGATATATCTATATATATATATATGTACAACGGACATCAGAAAATTTGTGACAATGAAAACCAAAAAAAACTAAGAAAATAAATCAAAATCAAAATGAAATAAAAAATTGATAGCGGATAAAAATGTGATTTGTATGGTTTTTGGCGGTTTTGGCGGTTTTTCTTTCTTGTTTTTTTTTAGCTTTTTCTGTTGCCAGCCAAAATCGCACAGATGTATTTAGTTAGGTTTAAGCAAATTAACATCACTACCACATCGTTTGTCCACTTGCAAAACAGCGAAAAAGAGAGAGAAAGAGAGAGAGAGAGTGAGATAGAGCGAGAATCAATGCATATAAAACAATAAAATGTAACAGAAATTACTCGAGAGTTTTGTTGTTTGTTTCTTTTTTTTTGTTACACATAAAAATTTGTGTTTTATTTTTTATTCGTAACTCTTTTGCTTGCAGTCTCTAACTAAGCATTAAACGACAAGGTAATAGATGTTAAATTACTGTGAACTCAATTTTGTGTTGCTTTTTTTTTTTTTTTTTTTTGTACAATTCATTATTTCTGATGTCCCTGCTTTTTGGGTCGAAACGCTACAAAAATTTCATTTCTTTTGTTTGAATATATTTTTTTTTTAATTTTTTTGTATCACAATTATTTATATACTTTTAGCCAGAGGCTTAGGCCGTACTCTTGTAGGGTTCACTTTTGATAGGAAATATGTTAGGTATGGCAGAAGGTTTTGTATATATGTCGGTAGACCTGAGCAGCATTGCTCGTTGAGTTGACTTAGCTGCATTCAAGTCTTATATTATGTGTGCTTCTCGCTGAAGTCTAAGGCTTTATTAATGAAACTTTTTACCATTGTAAAAAATCATATCAAGATCACCCCTTAGTATCATAGCTGAAAAATTGAATTGTTATAAGAAAAACTTTCCTCAATCAATCATCACAATATCTTTGTCAAATTTGACATTTTCTAGCTTTAGCAAGTCTAATCAATAACTGACTGCCATAGCATATAGCTGCCTTACTTAAAATCACACAATAATTGAATTTATGCTCAGGTACTTTAGCTACACTCAACTCAGAGTCAGTTGAACCACACACATAGCACGTTCACCCTACAAGAGTATTTAGTCTTCAGCCTGACCTCTGACTTTTGGTTTATATAATTTTTTTTTGTTCTCTTTTTATATTTTAGCTTACATTAGTCGATTAGGCGTTGATTGTTGGAAAAGGTTTGGACCCAAAACAGCATTAATAACAACAAGAAACAAATGAAAACGAATGAAAGGCGCTCCACAAGACAGCAATGTGAAATGAAATCAAAGTAAATAAATGAAACTTAGCCTAAGACACATAGAAGAAAAAAGGAAAAAAATGGAAAAAAACACACAAAAACAAAAACAATTCGTATTTGGCATTTTGTTAGCGTTCATCAGTAGAAAACGAAATGGTCAAAAAGGTCAAAAGGTAAACAGGTAAACAGGTAACGGGTAACAGGTAAATAGTTAACGGTTAACAGTAAGTAAAATTTTTTTGTTGCTTTTGTTTTTCGATTTTTTTTTCATTTTTTTTTGTTGTTTAGGTTTTTTATATTTAACAGACTTACGGAGCGTAGGGAAGTGTGAACACTGAACACAAATAAAGAAGAGTTTTTTATCTTTTTACTTTCGTTTTTTTTTTTGGACAAACAAACATTTGACAAAGCATGGCGTATACGTAATATAGATATATATTAAATATTGAATACTGTGCAGACAACCCGATTTTCATTTGTAATTATCTAGTGACAGAGAGTGCAGCTAACGAAGGGAGAGAGCGTAGAGAGAGAGAGAGAGAGGGAGAGAGGTAAAGGGAGAGGAAGAGCCAGAGCTTAGCTTATCCGCTTATTTATGTGAATCCTTTCCATGCTGCTTATACTCATTAATGATGTTGTAGATGCTGAAGTGTATATCATGTTCTATATTTGCTTTTGGCTCTGTCCTTTTTCGTCTGCTTTGCACTCGCCTTCCTCCTCTTCATATTTATCTTCTATAGAAGCTAGCTCTCCTTCTGTTAGTCTTTTGCCTGTTTCATATTTCTCAACTTAATTAAGTTCTACTTTTTTTAGCTTTGATTTTGCATTTGCTTTGGATTCCCTTTCATCCGTTCTTACTTCATTTATATACGCTTTATCATCTTCTGCTACTCGAGCAGCTGAATTGTCTTTCTCTTTCTCTCTAGTCTGTCGCCTGCTCTTCAGCTGCTTCACAGCTTAGCAGCAGCTGCTTCTGTTTTAGGCTCTGCCTTTTCTTTTGCTTATTACTCTCTCCTCTTCTCTGCATCTCATCATCAACATCATCATCTACTTCTTCTTCTTCTATAGAAGTTAGCTGTTTTTAACTCTCTCTAATCTTCCGCTTGATCCTCATCTGTTTCATATTCTTCATATTCCTCCTCCTCATATTCCTCTTCGTCATCTTCAAGCTCAGCAGCTGCTGCTTCTGTAACTGGCTCTGCCCTTGTCTCTACCTCACCCTCACTTTCTTCTTCCTCCTCATCTGTCACCTCTTCCTCCTCCTCCTCTTCTTCTTCTTCCTCTTGCTTTTCCTCAGCCCCTTGCTCTATATGCCTATCGCTTATGAGCTCCATATTGCAGTCATTCTCAGACGTCTTGTCCATCAGGTCATTCTCTGGCGGCACTATATTTATCACTGGCATGCCCTCCTCTTGCCTCTGCTCTGGCTGCTGCTCTTCGTCGCTCTCCTCACTCTCACTGGCTGTCACCTCTTCATATTCAGAGCTGGTAGCATTATCCGCTTGCTCTGGCAACTGTAACTGCTGCTGCTGCTGTTGCTCTGCCTCGCTCTCACTTTCAGTCTCGTTCTCAGCTTCGCTGCTGTCACTGCTGTCACTGGCTTCCTCTGCTTCATCTTCTTCTTCTTCATTTGTCTCATTCACACTTACCTCGGCTCGCGCTGTCGCCGTTGCTGTACGCACTGGAGATGCCGCCGCTGCTGCTGTCGCTGCCTGATTGCTGCTGCTGCTATCGCTCTCCTCGCTGCCGCCGAGACCACCTCGCTTCAGCGCTGTCACACGCTCCGTATTGGGTCGCTGTTCGCTGCTCGTTTCACCTGCCGCGGAGCTGGCTGCCGCGCTCTTGCGCTTCTGACGCGCCAGCTCATCCTCGTCGGTGGCCGCTGCTGCTGCCGCCGATTGTTGGTTTTTTTGCTGCTGTCGTTGCATGGCGGCCTTTTGCGCCTGGATGGCCGCCTGAACGGCCGCTTGAGCTGCATGAGCCGCTACATCCGATTTCTTTTCCTTCTTCTCCTTGCCAATTTCTGCCAGACGTTGAACAACGCGCGAGCAATCGCTGAGGCGTATTATGCCGCTCAGCTGGCCACGCGACACATCCTCGCTGTCCAGCACGCGATCCTTGCGCTTGTCAATCTCCTGCTGGCGCTGCTGTTGCTGCTGCTCGCTGTCCGAGTCTTCGTTTTGGTGCGAGCGCACGAAACGTGAACGGAAACGCGACGATTTCGCAGCACGTCCCGCCGGCTCGTTCTCATAGTCGTTTTCGTAATCGTACTCGGAGCGTCCATAGCGATTGTCACCATAGCGATCGCTGTTGTTGTTGGCGCTGCGCTGTGGTCGCTCACCAAATTTCCGGCCACCGAGCACCGGCTCATCATTGTAGCCGCCGCGTTCCTCCTGCTGTCGGAACTGTGTAGCCAAACGATGATCGCTCTTTGAGCGCATCAGTCCCGGCTGCAGTGCACTGGGCGGTGCCAGATGGGAGCTGCTCACCGAGCCGCTGGGCGTTGAGTGTGGCGCAATGTTCAGATCACCAAAGGTGGCCAAATTCATGACCAACTGATTGGGATCGATGGAGACAATGAAGCGCACACGACGACTGTAATCGTTGTTCTCATACTCAAAGTGACGCAGAAATTCGACGGTTTTCAGGAAGATCTCCTTGGTGTCCATTAGCTCGCAGTCATCCCATTCGACAGTTTCGTTCATGTACTTGTCCACAATGTCACAATTGCTGGTGATGTTCGTGATCTCCAGATCCAGATTCTCCTTGAGCGTAGTCAGATTGCGCAGCTCCACGGCCAAATAGCGATCGATTTCGCCCTTAAGGCCATCTGATCTGTCCTTTATGGCCTTCGTTATGCGCCTGTAGATCTCATCGATCTCCTCCGTGACACCGATCGCATTCGTCTGCAGGCTCGTCGTGTTCTTCTCGATGATGGCCAGCGAGTCCTGCAATCGATGCAAGCTGCGACGAATCTATGAAGAGCCAGCTATCAGCTAGAGTTCAGTTCGGGTCTAGGTTATGTTGGACTCACCTGTGAATTGAAGCGGGTTATCTCACGTCGCAGTATGTCCATGTGTGCGCTCTTGCAGTCCTCGCAGATCTTTTTCTCGCAGTGCGCACAGTGGGATAGATACGCTTTCTCGGAGCAAACTCCGCAGCGTTCCATGATTTGACCTGAAATGAAATAATGGAAATGGAACGTTAATGGCGAAACTTAAGCGGGGTAGTAGTAATGCGTTTCATTATGTTTCACTGCTAGGGAACAATGGAAATGGAACGTTAATGGCGAAACTTAAGCGGGGTAGTAGTAATACTGTTTCATTATGTTTCACTGTTAGGGAACAATGGAAATGAAACATTTCGTTACCAAAACGTTCCAAATGAAATTGTTTCAGTGCAAAGAGTCAATTTAATTTCAATTTCAAAGTGTTTCATATAGGTATAAACTTAAGTGAAACAAGTGAATAGGAACATGAACACAACTTTATTATAAGCAACGTATCAACATTTCTTTATCATATCGTATCATTAGCAATACTCTAAAAACGTACGTGACGGCATAATGGAAATGAAACAGAAATGATATAGCAATAATTGGAACACAGCTGCCGAAGAGCTTTACTAGTTTCATTTCAAGTGCTTATATAGGTACAATAGAAATGAAACATCACGGAAACATTGACAAGATTTCAAGCTTGAGCTTAAGACGAACTGAGCTGGAACAGCTCGAATTGGCACACTCAAAAGTAATTTCATTTTCCATTTAATCATATTTCAGCAGCAAATCGTTTCATTTGATTTCAAATACAATTTAACCCAATGCAATGAGAGCCGTCACGCAGCTTATCAAATGCCAATTCCACAACGTTTCAGTTGTTGTCAGCGCAATCATTTGCCAATGCTTAGCAATTGAAATTCCACTTGTTTTCGATCAAATCGCATTCCTTTTACCAACTTGTTTAGCCTTGTCGATGCTTGTTGCGCAGCCAAAATATTTCGACTTGTCGCTAGATGCTAAGTTACTGCAGTAGCAGCAGCAGCAGCAGCAGCAGTTGCAGCAGTTGCAGTTGCAGTTGCTTTTGCTGCAGACAGGCCGCCAAGCCATCAATTTGCACTATTGGCAACAGTTTCGTTTTTTTTTTCACTTGTATCTTGACTTGACTGCGATTGCAGTGCAGTGAGAGTCAATGGCGGGGGCAGCTGGGGACTAATGCGATTTCAAGAGTCGCGCCAAAATGCCAGAAATCAACTGGATCTAAACGCAGCCCAGCTCGTTGCTGTTCGAGTTGTTTATGCGTCCGTTTGCCAGGGCATATCCTGCCAGCGCATGCCGATGTCTTGGCTATATATATGCATAATGCAAATAACGAGCTGTCGAGCCATCGACATGCCCCACTAGTTATCCTTTCGACTGGTCCTCGAGTACCCAACTTCGTAACCTGCTCTATGCACTTCTTCTATCGTTCCTACTTCAACAATGCAAACATTTCACAGAGTCTCAGTCACAGTGTAGCAAATCGCAGTCGCTGTCGCAGTCGCAGTCGCAGTCGCAGTCACAGTCACAGTCGCAGTCACAGTCGAGCTATGTAAACTTTTCTGCATCAATTGTTCGCAAAGATGCCCCGCTCACCTCATCTGGCCAAATCTCTCGCATAACCATTGGCATTGGCATTGCCTGATGAACTTGCCTCAGCTACCAATTGCTCGCTCCTCTTGCCATTACAATAAGCTCACCAAGCACACACCAACACACACACACACACACACATAGAGTGAAAAAAGAAAAACTCGCTATGCTTGCTCTGCATCAATAGTTGGCTGTATTTTCTTGTGTAATCATATGGAAAAGTGAATTTGCAAATACTACATGCGATTGCGAGTCCTTGTATCATCGCATTCAGTTATCCATAACAGCGCGGCTTGAAAGGATTTGCCCAAAAATCAGCTCAAGGAGCAACTTTTCTTACCACACACACACATTTGCATAGCAATTGTCAAAAAACAAATAATAATAATAATAAAAAAAAGGAGACTCAAATACTCGAAGCTTTGTCTGCTTATTAACTGCCTGCCACTGATTGCAGCTCTGTGAATACATTTCAACTACATACGTGTATATATGTATATATACTTATATATATATATATATATATATATATATATATGTAGTACTTATGGTATTCATAATACTCATTCCTTTCGCAGCATTCATAATAGTCAAAGACACTTTCTTTCGACACTTATTTGCATTTTGCTGATGAGAGTTGTCGGTTTGTCGCTTTGTCGCTTCTGTGTCGCTTCTGTTTGTCCTTTGCAATTTGTCGCCGACTATCAAGTTTCAAGTTATTTGCATAGTCATGGCTACCAACCTGATACCGCAATATGGCCACAATGCAAATGATTTAAAACAAGAAAGAATTCTCGAAATGACAAAAGCTGACGATTGAATACTCTATCTAACAGATGAAAGGCTTATGGATAAGAACAAACAACTTGTAGAAGACAGAAAACTCTATTTTTAAACAAATTTTTTAATAGCTTTTAGCTATGAAAGTTATATCATATAGTACTTCTACATAGATACAAATCTACATTTAAATATAGATAAATATAGATAGTCAATTCTAATTCAAAAATTTTTAGAAACGTAAAATGAGTATAAAAAAATTAATTTCGAAGCCATAATTCCTACGACAGCTGACTGATATAGTACAACGATATTGAAAGAGTCTTGGCAGTATCTAACAAACCTAAATAAGAAGTGTTACGAATATATTTGGCAAGGCAAAAAAGTGGTTTTTATCAAAATTAAATTTTTCAGAGTAATGATAGCTAACAGAGATTTGAAATTTGATATACAAAGCTATTTATCATGCTTTATATATCAAATTTCAAATCTAGCAGTGAAAAAGATGCGAAGGTGTATAAATTATTATATTATGCAAAGCCAATATACTCGTTAGCTTCCTGAATGAGTGTACAAAATGAGAGTTACATAAGACACTTAGCTATAACAACTCATATATATTTTATATATATATATATATATATTTATGCACTTTCTTTTATACACAACTCAAACTACATAACAAATTTGATAAACTCTAACTACTACCCTAACTTAACAAAAATTTCAAACACACACAAAAAATGAACCAAAATCAATTTGCTTTTGCTTAGTTTTAATTGCGGGCGGGTGGGCCGTAAGGCGCGTGGACTGATTTGTAAAATACACAAAGCGCTTGATTTTTAATTGGAAACCAAATATGGCGATGGCATTTGCTTTTTATTCGTCACTCCTTTTTGTAATATATTTTTTTTTTGCGTTGTGATATTTTAGGAATTTAATTAAAGTTAGACATAAAGCAACATTTATTAACAAATTATCAGAAAATAGAAAAAGAAATTGCTTGCACAAAGTGTTTTTACTAAAAGAACATATTACAAAAATGGTTTTGCTATATTTTTGTTCAAATTCTTTTTGCCTTTGGGCACAAAAATCAACGCAGCGTAAACAATTTTAAATGGCAAATTGCGAATTGCAATTTTTCATTTTCCAATGCACAACAATTTTAATTTGTGATAGACGGACAAACGGACAAATAAGAGTAGGCAGACAGACATCAGGGATACGCTTCACGCTTTGTGCGTTTTATTCACTCTTTCGCTTTGTCACAGAATCAACAAATTCCAATGAAATGCTTTGCTTTTCGTCGCGGAAGGGAGGGAGAGAGGAAGTGTGGGAGTAGATTACTTACCTGAGGTGGGATCTGGCAATTCGCCGGTAATTTCGATGTGCAGCTCCAGAAAACGCTGCAGCGTAACATTCGTGGGAAAGGCCTGTACGCCATTGTAGGGTATACGATGTTCGGCACGGCATTCGGGGCATTTGACCTGCAATCAGTGCAATCAGACGTAAGTAAAGGAAATTACAGGTTCATCAAACGATGCAGTGAATACGCATTTTACAAGTGAACAACTTAACAGCTAAATATGCAGTTATGTATGCTATACACGGTACTATATAAACACATACACACAGTACTGTACACATACTAACATTTAATCACGTCTCTTTCACGCTGACGCTCGGTCAAGACTCCCTCTGCCTTGCACTCTGACAGAGACGTTACTTTGTATTTATGTTTGTATGCGTGAAAGCAGCAGCAATTCAAGTAAAGAAGAATGGGCACATGAGTATGTGTGAGGGAGAAAGGCTATATTCGCGGCAATTTAACTAATCTAAAAAGTATTGAAGTAATGAAAAATACAGCGAATTCACAAAACGTAAATTGACATTCGCCTCGACTGACTCTATATACATATGCATTACTTTTATGCTATACAAGTACATTCGTATATATATGTATACATACATGTGTAAGGGTAATAATCATAGTTGTCAAACTGAGCTAAAAAAAATTAAAGTGGAAAGGAAATTACAGTGTGCAGCAAATTTCCAAAACGGGAGTTGCCTTTGCCAGTAATTTATCTAACTACATGCACATGTGAGAGCGAGACAAAGCGACCGCTGCTTGACTTGGAAGAATTACAGTAAAAAAAAATTGAAAGAGTACAGCAAATGTAGAAAACGGGAGCTGTTTACTAAATGGCCTTGACTTAGTGCGATCGAATATTTATCTTACTAGCTGCATTTCTGTTAATATATAAGCTTAAAATAAGTTTAATAAATATATATGTATACTTTAACATATTTAAATTTTGTAACACGCTTTAAAAACCCACACAGCTGATGAAATGTTTGCAGTGCAGGCATCTTGAGCGTGTGTCACCTTCGTCTCTGTCTATGTTTTTCTTATTTTCGCCCTGCCCTACAGTGTTGGCAAATCCATAGGGCCTGGCTGCTGTGCAAGACAGTTATTTGTTTAGTTGCTTGTAGAGGCTTTTGGCCAGCAGTGTATGGCATACAATGGACATGCTTACCAATTATTCGCGTGGCGCTGGCGTAAAGCCAAAATAAATTTATAAATACGCGCATTCACTAACACACTAACACACACACATACAGTAGGCGTCTATAAGTAGCGCGGTAGACACATATTCATTATATGTATATACATATATATATATTTATATATATATAGATAAGTATGGCTGCTTTATATGTAAATTTTATAATTTTTCAGCAGCCAACGCAAAGAAAAAAATGAAAATCTACGCAAATGCGCCGCAAGCAGCAAAAACTGAAATTACGTTGAAAGAAAAACAAAAAGAAAACTCAACTCATTTCCACAATGTGAAGTCTGCGTTTTTTTTCTTTGGATTTTTGCCTTTGGACAAGGAAAATGTTGTTTTCATTTGACTCGATGCGATTTTTTGGGGGCTTTTGCCATACGATTTATTAAGCAGCTTTTGGCATGTGACGTAGAGCGCTCAACGAATTCGCCGCATTTAAAGAAATTGCCTCACACATGCACACACACATACACACAAACACAGCCATGTGTACACATGGCTTATGCATTCGACTGTGATTATGATTTATGGACTTTTGTGCGTATGTGTGCGTGTGTACATAGGGAGTTGATGTGACAAATAATCTTACCTGGCGTCTCACATAGTCGACCAAGCCCTCCATGCAGGGCTCCATGCAAAAGGAGTGCTGGCATGGCAAAAGCTTTGGTATGCGATACCTGTCCAAACACACGCAGCACGTCAACAACTGTTCGAATTGTTCCATGGTTCACTGCAAAAGAGAGAGTGAGAGAAGGGGAGAGTGTGAGTGAATGCAATCAGACATCATTAGACTTGATTTGATTAGAGACAAAGTCCTGTCAATTTGATATTCATATCATTATAAATTCGCGTGCACCGCCTCGCCTTGCTAAGCTCATCATAAGATGGCCCCCAAATCGGATTGCGACATTATGAGCCCTCGCTTTTCAATGAGCACAAAACAACAGAATGCCATCGAGTGTGGCAAATGAGCTTAGCTGACTGTCTAATACGCGCTAAAGTAGCAAAGTAGAAAAAAGGGAGATTTTCCTGATAGAGTTAGTGGGAATTAAAGAATATTTTCAATGTCTCATTAGTTAGAGAGAGTTTTCAGCCAACTTGACTAGTTTTGTTGATACCAAATTATGGTCACTCTAATTTTTAAGCTACAAAATAGGTGCGGGCATCGTTTGATAAGTTTGGGACTTAATAAATATGCATTATTTTATTATATTTATATTATATTATATTATATTTTGATTTTAAAAAAATATATTTATTTTTTCTTATTTATAAGCTATGCCACATGCCTCCAATAATACTCGCTTCAATTCGAAGAATCACGTGAAAACTACATTTTTATCTATATTTATAAAGAATTAAAATTTTTTTAATTTCTTATAAATTTGGATTGATCTTAAAAAATGTTTTTTTATTCCAAAATATGGTCACTTTTGTTTTTAATTTAAAGAGTTTCTCAAACTTCCACACAAAAACCTATATACTGCTCACAACACCTAGCGAACGGGCATAAAAACAAAGTGAAAAAAAAAGAAACAAATAAATAAGAAGAAGAAGAGCAGGCATCACCGTAAATTGACCATTTCTGAGCCATTGTCGTAAATCGCAAGCCTGCTTCAGTTCAGCAGCAGCTCCCATCCAACCAACCACCCTCCCACCCTACACCCTCCCCCCTCCCCGCTTGTGCTCATTTGTCCTTGACAAATATTCTAAGCCGCAAATCTGCTTATGGCTGGCTTCATTAAAAGCGGTTTATTTAAAAGAACTCAATACGGCAAATAAAAACGAACCAAGCTAATGTAAATAGAAATGGCCCAAAGCAACTGTATGTATATACATATATATAGAGTATATATACTCTATATATAGGTACTTCTATATGGACTGTTAATTGGCAATAACTTAGCCTAATTATGAGCACAGCTGAGCGTTAGCCTTGACAGTGCGCTTCGATTGCCATTTTGCTGTGGCTTCAACAAATGGCTCAAATGTCGATTGACGCATGCAATTGCCATTGACCACAAATATTGGCAATTGCAATTTAATGAAATATTGCATTTTGTAGCTCATCTGAAAAGCATCAGAGCTGAATTGCAGCCAGTCAAAGCGTCCATCAAAGCTGAGTCGAGCGTAAACATTGAAACGAATTGCCAAATTTAATTAATAATTAATTAGATATGAGCAAGTGAATTGCAATTAAATTTCCTTCGTATTAGCATAAAATTATTATAAGTTTTGTTTTATTTTATTTAGTTTATTTTTCTATTACATTACTATTAGAGCACATAGATTCATTATCAGCATCATTAGCATTATCGTGAGGATTGTCACTGTCATTATCCCAAACTACATTAGAATTCATATCAATATCTTGGGATCTAGCATAAATATTTTTATGCTCATTATTCATGTCATTTTCATTATCATAACCAAATTCATTGCATTAAAAAAACTGTTTTTCTTAGCAGTAGCTTCATTAATTAGCATTAATTTCTCATTATCATTATCACTTTCATTATTCATTGCATTTTTTGGTATTTTTTTTTTCATTATTTTAACTCAACTATTTTTTCATTGATGACATTATTTTCATAATCATTATCATTAACATTACCATTGGCATTATAATTCTTATTATTTATCATCATTGTTTATTCATTATGATTAAATTTTTATTAGCATTAGTAAGATTTATTATCAATTTCATTATCATTTTAATTCAATTTATTATAAATTTCATCATCATTTTAATTTTTCATAAATTCTTTTAATATCTTTTTTAGCATTGGCATTATCAATATTATTATTTAATATAATATTTATTTTTTGTAATATGATTATCCTTTTCATTATCATCCTTATTAGCACTGTCATTATTAAATATTTAATTTCATTATGATAAATATATTCATTATAGTATTATTCTTTACTATTGTTTATTTAACTATCAAAATTTTTTCATATCACCATTTTCAATAGATATTATAATTTTTATTAGCATACTCATTATTTTTATCATTAGCATTGCTAATATATTTTTTAGTATTGTAGCAAAGTTTTTATAGAAGTAATAACAATAATAATTATAATGATAATGATCATGCGAATTTTAAAGTCAATTCCGCATTGGCATTGCGTTTTTGACTGCCGCGAATTCGCGGAAATCCAACACGCGTTGATTTTTGGCAAAGTAATTGCGAGCCAGTTGCCTGCTAGTTGCGAACATACAAAAATTTTCTTATTTTCTGACCGAAAATAAGCTGCAAATGCGCAGCTTTTAATAATAAAAATGACACAGATTTTCCCATGAAGCACACCGAAATATTTCTCAATGCGATGTGCACTATAGGCAGACACACCTACAGACATTGATATATATATATATATATATATGCGTGTGTATATGAAATGCAATTTCGTCAGGCATATTGCGTATACGCCACGTCAGCACACGGTGCACACGGTGCACGCGTTGCCCACGGCTGCCAGCCACGCCCCAAAGCTGCTGCAGCCGGCTGCACACTTCCTGGCCAACAATAAATAAACATCGAGGTGCACCGCAAAATTGTCGTGCCGCCTGTTGCCAATTAAATCTGTGTGTGAAATGTATTTAAAGCGTTGCTTAAATTGCGGCCAAAAGTTCACATTGTATGGCAGTAGCCCACCCCCCAAAACGTCCCCATTGCCACGCCCATAGCATCAGCAAAAAATGCAAAGAAGAAGAAGAAAATCGCATGCGAATAGCGTGCAATTAAGTGGAAAATGCGCTTAAAATCAAATTGAATAGAAATTTTGTCGCCCGCTCAAATTGTGCGTACTATAAACCACTGGCAGCAGCAGCAGTTGTGGGCGTGGCACATATATATGTGTCTCTTTCTCTCGCCCACTCTCTGGAAACTAATTTTGCAATTGCAATCTGTAAATTTGGGCGCCAAAAAGGATTAAAATGAAAGGCATGCGCTCGCATAATAGAAACTGCCTTAAAAACCATAGCCAGGGCCACGCCCACTACACACACACACACGCTGTGCTGGCTGAAATTGTGAATGTTTGCTAAAGAGCTGAAGACTTCTGAAAGGGGGCGGTGCGCAGAGGCGGCGCCGGTACTTCAAAGCACAATTTGAATGGCCATTCAAAAGCATCAAAAAGAGAGCGAGAGAGAGAGAGAGAGGGAGAGAGAGAGGGAGCGGCAGCATAGTTATTTAAGAGCGTGCTTTGCGTGCAATGGACAGTGCTCGAATTTAACAATTACATAAATAAATACATTAAGACAAACACATGTGCTGCAAATCGCAGCGAAATTGCTTTTTTTATAGCTTCGCAATTGAGTTGAGCACGAAGGCAAAGCTCTGAGTGTGTATAGCTTTATATCTTTAACTACATCTATAGAGAGTAAAATTTCAATTTGTTAAAGCTATTTTAACAGGCAGCCAGCAGCGGTATAAATTTGGATAAATCGAAGTTAAAGTCTTATAGATATCTTCAAATAGTTGAATACAGGAACTCAGTTTATAAAGATTCTATAAAAATATATGTAACAGATTGAAGATTCTTACTCAGATCGATCTAGCCAAGTTCAGCTGAAGAGGCTTTAAATTTGAAGAGCTTAATCTGCATTGCGTTTTCGATAACACATTCGATTAACTTAATTTCGATAAAAATCGATCATTTGCGTTGGCTTTTTCAACTTATTATGTTCATTGCTTGTTGCATATATAAACAAATTATTGGATTATTAATATTTATTCAAACAATCCAATTATTCTTAAAGTGAAACTTAATTTCTAAGTAAAGACAGCTAAATGCTATGGTATATCGATCTTGATAAGATTTTGTGTGCTCATATAAACGTTGTTAGCTAAGCCGAATTAGATTAAAATATTTTTATTGGCCCAATCTTAATATATATATATATATGCTGACTGCTACAAAGCGATGAAGCTGTGCTGACGTAGCGGTAAAAACAATCCAAGTTTTCCCGCAGTCTAAGCGAAGAGGCACATAGACTTAGTGCCAGTTCAACGTATATTGTGTCTAATATATATATATTCATTATATATATACTATATGCACTTGGGATTTCAGCTTTTTTATGCCATTCACATTTCGAAATTTTCAAGCATATAAATATAAAATGTAGAAAAAGCTATAATTAATGACAGCCAACAGCTGGAAAAGAGGCGAACACCAAATAAATTTCACATCAATTTTTTAGCCACTTCCCTTGGAGTTGAATTATGCATTTATTAAATGAAATAATAAATAATAAATTGAATTTTTTCATTCGAATACACAACTAGTTTAGCTATCTAGTATTCACACTATTGTTTCCTGATCCAAAGAACAATATTTATTATTCATTTTGTCGGGCAAAACTTTAGCGCAACTTTTTGTTTATGCGCCAAGATTGATGGGGACAGTTGTTCAATGTTTTGTTTTTCAACGTATACACAGACAAATATATATTATACATATATGTGTGTGTGTATAGCTATAGAAAAAAACATTAGCCTTGGCAATTAAATTTAGCCAATTATGTGACAAACGTCTGTCAGCTAAAGGAAACGGAAATGCGTAAATATGCAGTTCATTGCAATTGGGTTCAAAGACTTGCAACTATATAGACTATATATATATATATATATACATATATGTACATGTATGTGTATATGTCTATGCTATGTCTATTTGACCCTGGATGCTTGCCAGTTTTCGTTGCAATCGCAACTT